ACACGGTCACTGTCACTGACTGATCATCTACATAGCTGCTGCAGCACATCTATCTCACTGCAGAAATAATCTGTAGCTAGCAAACCCTACACTATTGCTGATGTACAGGTCAGTGTGTATTGTTATGTACACTAAGTGTGGTGTTTACAACGACACGGTCACTGTCACTGACTGATCATCTACACAGCTGCTGCAGCACATCTATCTCACTGCAGAAATAATCTGTAGCTAGCAAACCCTACACTATTGCTGATGTACAGATCAGTGTGTATTGTTATGTACACTAAGTGTGGTGTTTACAACGACACGGTCACTGTCACTGACTGATCATCTACATAGCTGCTGCAGCACATCTATCTCACTGTAGAAATAATCTGTAGCTAACAAACCCTACACTATTGTTGATGTACAGGTCTGTGTATTGTACACTGAGTGTGGTGTTTACAACGACACGGTCACTGTCACTGACTGATCATCTACACAGCTGCTGCAGCACATCTATATCACTGTAGAAATAATCTGTAGCTAACAAACCCTACAGTATTGCTGATGTACAGGTCAGTGTATTTGTACACTGAGTGTGGTGTTTACAACGACACTGTCACTGTCACTGACTGATCATCAACTCACCTTTAAACTTATCAAACCACAATATGTGATCAAATTCGACATCTCTGATTCCTTGCCATGTACCTAATCTTTTTTACTCACAGTGAACCTCCAATGTTTATTCAAGTAGCTTTTTTCATGGCATTGTCTTAGTCAAAATATTTTTTGTTTTTTTTTTTTACTTGATTTTCATACAAAATGTATAATGTTAAAATTGTCTTTTCTAATTAACAAATAATAGAAAATAATATACTTTTAGTTTCGAAAATAACATACAGTGTGGTAGTCAAACCTTGTTTATTTTATAAGCTATTGACTAGATTTCAAGTATGTGTATGAATACATTTTAAATCACCACCTACTATTAAGTACAAATTTAGCACTACCAATACAAATATAGCCAGTAATTACTCTTCATCATAGGTTATAAATATAAAATTACATTTTTACAACTACATAAGAGAAATAAATATTGATTTGGTTCGTAAAAAATCACCTAAATCTTAATTACGACCCTAGGGACGGACCTTCCCTCGTTAGCCGTGTCCCGTGTCTGACGCTCAGCCACACGTGAAAATTCTCGGTGAATTTAATTAGCAAAAAGAGAGATCAGGCTTATCAGGAAGGGACAGAGCGGAAAAAGAAGAATAGTAACCGAGTTCGGCCGGGCGGCAGGGAATTTGCCGGCAAACGATCCCCACTTGATTGGCTACAGCTGACTGTTTGCCGCGCATTGAGACACCCTAGCTCAATACCGGACCTGTTTTGTGTTTTAAGATTTTTTTTTATTCTGGTGTCTCATTGTGATTGCTTTTTTGGTAGTTAGTTTCTTTCATGAGTGACTAATTATACTAGTGAGACTAATTACCTAAATGATAATATTTTAATGGTTTTATTAAAATAATGATTTTGTGGATACAATTTAGGTTATCTCTTTTTATTTAAATATTGTTACAATTTTGAACAATTAAATGTCAGTGTGTAAATTGTTAGGTTAAAAATAGGCCAAATTAGATGTATATCTGAACCATCATTTATTAGTTTATCTTAATCAAATTAAAAGTTTGAAAATGGTGTCCTACAATATTTTATTGCATTTAAATTTTACTATAAAACGACACCAAGTTCAAACAGATTGAATTACAAATAACTGAAATATTAAGATTTTTAGTAGTAAAATTATGTTGATCAAAACTAAGCTAGTCTGGTTTGCCTCGTTTTACAACCAAATATCGTGATATTTCATAATTTTGTATTCAAACAGTTTGTTCTTGGGTGTCGTTTGATAGAAATTTTCAGTGCTAAATAAAAGTGTTCCAGACATTTTTGCATAAAATTTGCCATTTTTTGCAATTTCAATTAATAAAATTAAAATGGCTACCATTTTGAAATGTTTAATCGGACCAAGATTCATAATGATCGGATGAATAATTCAGATAAAGATAAAAGATAAAGATAAAATTTCGTATGTGGAAAACAAACTGGCGGATATCTGGTTAACGAAGTGATTTTGTAAAAAATGTTATACTTGAATTCTCTTTATTTTGACCCATAGAACCATTTCCCGGAGTATGGTTGTTTTCTTACGGGACACCCTGTATATCTACTCTCTCATCTCGGAAACTTGATACTGTATTTCAATTATAAATCGCTTCATTTGAACGACTTACATTTTGTACCTAATAAAGCTGTATATTAATTCAGGTAGAAAGGAGTTGAAAAATACCTCTGTTGTCATGGTGACTATTATATTATTTGTAAATTTTGTAGATAATTGTAATCCTTAATTTACAATTACAATTAGAATATTTACAGACGATTTAGCATTCCCTAACTGTATAAATATTTAAATTTAGTATACGTAAGAAGCAGATTATAACGTATCTTTATTTCTTTCACTAAAAAAATCATTATTTCAAAAGAAAATCCAACGGTTTGTATAAATTTATTTTGTAGTAGTGATTACAGTATTATAAAGGTCGTGTAAGAGAACAACTGAAAGGTGCTTTATAAGCTTCTTTTGGATCATGAGTAACTGAACGCCAATCATAAATCACCATTTAGAAAATAGCGCCTAGCTCCCTTCTTGTAGACATATCCAATAATTTCACATGGATATGCATAATTACAAACTCATTAACTGAGAAATACAACAAAATACACAACGTAATTCATTTAAGCGGTTTTAACCGATCAAACAACCCAGGCAACTTACTCTGTTTACTTTGTACCAAGCATTAAAACGAACACAATCACTCAGCAGAATCCCACTTAGTCCGCTCGGTGGAAGGTTAAAAAATTAAAGCGGGGTTTCGACCGTCGACCACTCTAAATAAAAGTAACGCTTTGGACGAATCGAGTTGAAATACTTTAAATGGAACCGATAGTAAAATGACCCATGGGAGTGGAGTGGGGAGCTCGATACAGATCAGATGTCCGTTCTCACGATCAGTTCAACTTTATTCGCGTTGTTTCGGTTTTACCCTGATCAGCTGATCGCCACTCAGGTGAACCCAGTGGATTACACATTGACTCCTTTGTGAGCTTGTCATATCAGTTCCATTATCCACCACTGGAGGTTCACAGCGCTGGTGTCACCCTTGTAATTACCGACTTCCTCTCCCGTCGTGTTTTTCCACAGGCAATATTTTACATCCGTTTTTGACTGTTTTGACAACATCGACGTTTGTAACGTCGTGTTTTCTTTTATCTTGCGTGAAAAGCGATTACCCAGGCCATTGTTGGGGTGTGAATTAATGGACTGTTTTTTCTCGGTTGTCCATTGTTTTTTGACGAAACACTTCTAACAGCATACGTTTGGTGACAGCATTCGAATGTTTGTGAGGCATTTGGTGATTGTCTGTACAATGTTGTGGTATTTGGATGCAACAAAAATGTTCGTTTATGATAGGGATGAAGAATAAAAATATTATCTACCTTAGCCAAAGTGCATATGTTCTGGTGTTGTAGCTTTTTTCTAAAACATAACAGCCCGGCTTGTTATCAGCATCATTGCAACACTATTCAATGTTTGTAGGATAAAAAACGATTTTATTTTGTGGAAAACCCCTCTCTCCAAGACAATATGAAGCTTTGACTTTTGAACAGTATGGCTCTACTGTATTTTTGACAAGGAACCCTCCTCCTCCAAATGCAGAGTTAAGAACCTCTTAGTTTCACAATCTAACTCTTGAGACTTGATTTGGTACAATTAATTATATTAAGAGAATTGTAAAGCAGAATTTGTTATCAGGTATATCAGAAATAATATTTCTAACGTAGATAGTCTGACTAACACACCAAGGCAGGGATGTATCCGATTTATATTTCTTCCTTTTACTACAAGACTCTTTCTTTGGTTCGATACAAGGACATAAAGCTGTAAAAGATTCCTCCAACCTGTAAACCATTTCATCAATAGTTTCTAGAATATTCTTTAATTGTTAGATATTAATAAATGTACCAAATTTGAAACTTTACATTTCGGGATGAAAAACACAGAGAAATATATGTAGAAACTGATTTATTTTCTACTCAAATAGTACATATATACATCACATTACACTATTATACAGGTAGCTAAAGTCAAAACCACAAAACGTTAAACAGGGCTAATCACAATTCATAGGGAATTACAACCGATTAATTAGTTGAAGTGAATAAATTAAATTTTTGGATATTACAAAAACTGTATACAAACTAATAGTGAGAGAAGTACAAATTTTCAACAAACTTGTGCTATAAATAATTATCACAACATAGCACAAAATTTATCATTGTTTTCTCATGGTATCTATTTTGTTCGAAAATAAATATGCATTGGTGTTTATTTCAGGAAAAACATATTAATGCTGAAACATATAGGTACCCAACATAAAGTCATTCTTATATACACGTTAAATACAAACAAAAATAAATAAACTTTGGGACCAATGGTATTTTCTTGTCTAAGTCATGTACAATATATCAATCTAACATAATATCTCTTTATATACAATATTTTAAACCTTTCACTATGTAAACAATATGAACAACGACTTAGAGGATATCTGTACACGGCACTGATTGTCTTTTAGGGGAGTTTTATGAGATCATGATGAAATTGCAGAAATGGATGTTCTGCACAATGTGTACTTGTGGACTTTTGAATTTTAAATACATGTTTTTAGATATAATTCAAGTGACTCGATTTGCATTCGAAAGTTGCCAATGGATAAACTTAACAAGCAATTAAAAGCTAAGCACTCAAAACCGAATATAACATTTTTTCACGTCACAGTAAAATCCCAAATTCAATACTCTTTATTTTTGAAAATTAAGGAATTTATACAGCAAAGTACACTTTATATCAAACATCCACTTCACTTAACAACGAAACGAGATTTTCAGTCTTAGTACGGCCTCCACACACTGGCTTTCGTCTGAGACGTCGTCTTCGGTAGGACCTTGCCAGGGGGTGAGATGACGGGAGTGTCCGTGGTGGGAGGGGGAGGTGACGCGGTGACGACGATGTCGGGGGACGTCGTGCCTGTGGTGGTGTCGGGCGAAGACCTGGCGGGCCGTACTTGCTGGAAGGCAGAGCGCACCGACAAGCTGCCGGGACTAGGACCTGCAGAAAAACAAAGATTTGTTAACACTAATATCTACAATGTTTTTAATTGTTGACTATTTAATTTACTTTAGACTGTGGACACACTGCGGTCAATTAGGCATCATTAGCTTTGACCGTGGACCTAAGACTAAGACTCCCATTCTCATTTCAATATGTTTACAGACTTATCAAACTGAAAGAACAATGTTAAACAATTTGAGAAAATTGAATTTTGATAGTATTGAACTGTTTGAGTATCTCAGGTATACTGACCTCTATCTTCGGCCTCGGATGTGTCGGTGGACGGTGGAGGGGACGGCTTCCTCAGAGGTGACCCTGGAGTCAGCAGGTCCATCCCTGGGTAGTGCAGCAGGTGAGTGTAGGCGGCGGGGGACAGACCTAGCGTGGGCGGGGGCAGGAAGAACTCTGGAGGCATCGCGGTCGTGGGGCTGGTGGCGGAACCTGCGGAAAAGACGAAGGTCAGAACCAGGAGAAAGGAATTTAACTGTGTTTAGTGGGAGCAATAAATCATTGTCAGCATATTGTGTGCTTTGTCGAGGAAACATCTGCATCCTTGAAACACATTGAAACACTTAAAGTCTCTATTAGCCTAATGTTGATGTCAAAAATTCCTCGGAACCAAACATAAAACTGTAGACGTGAAATGTTTTAGGATACAGCGCAAATTTATCCATGCTCTTACTGCGTTTCTATGCTGGTGGTGTGATGATTCATTTCAGTTTGAGTAACCAGTAGTAGCATATTTAGTACATAACTGTCTTGAAAATAGATTACAGTCAAAGTTCATATTCCTAGTATACGCATATCTATCGTCACTATTATGAGATTTGTCCTCCATTTCAAAAGGGACTAATGTCTACTACGTCTATGTAAAACTATCCAAAACAATAAACCAATACGTTACAAAAAGTACCAAAACACTCTCAAACAATAAAAAAGCAAAAAATAAAAACCATTGGAAAAATAAAACATCAAAAAGTAATCACAAGGCAACAACCCCTCGCATTGCGTTTATCGCAGCAACAGCCGCGTTGATTGCTGCTGATGATTTACGCGATGATGGGTGGAATCAACCCCAACAATATACGAGTGGGAGCGGCATTGTAGCAAGACTGATGACGTCTCAGGAGGCTTCTACACTGGTGACACTTAAAGGTATCTAACGTATGTATATAAGCAAAGACGATGAAGGCGGATTCAATTGTACACCCTCTCCCCACACCCCCGTCCCACAGGACCTTCTCCCCAACGGGGGTGTAAGCTCCAGTGAAATCGGATTACGCGAGGGATGATTCTCAAACGATGAAGGCTAATTCAACACGGCCCCTGGCCCTTGGCCTGGGGCACCTCGGCTACCCGACCAGTGTTTGATTTAACAGGATTTCCCTCTGATTTTCAATGCACGGTGATTGCCCCAGGATCGCTAAAAGGATAAAATTCTTCGTTGTTGATGAAATAGTGTTGATTTATATTGTTAAGGCTCTGTGTGTACCTTCATGCCTTCATGATATAGTGGATTTTGACTGTGTTATGATTTAGATCTCTGAGTAAAAAAGAGGAATATAAGCACATTTTTGTTTAGAGACAGCAGAGATAAGTAAGCAATATTTGAAAACAGGCCCCCTTGATTGGCCTAATTCTAATAGTCTATTTTAGATTTCCATAAGATTTTCTGACAGTATGTAGTCCTAATGTTAACGTAGTCTTTATAAAGAAAACTCAAATTATTTATCACCCTATAATGCATATTTTAGTTTATCCCATCACGTCGTAGTGAATTGTAGTTGCATTTTCTCATGATGTTTAAAAGGTACACTTTCTGAGTATATAGAAATTTAAAAACCTTCAGGTGGGACTGAACATTTAGTAAACGTTCATCTCAAGGCTCGTATTTGTTTTAAAAAACGAAAAGTCCCGACCGCAACAGGGTTTTGACTAATTATGCCCAAATTGAAATATTATTTAGTGGCATAAAGAAAAAAATAATAGTTCCATATGCACAATCTTACAATACTAAAATTTATTATTGCGCACCCAGTTGTATCTAAATAGTCCTTATTAGCATACCCAAACAACATGTGGCGAAATTGGCTCACCAGTTTTACCTGAAGACACAAGTAGCCCTCTATAATTAGGTCACATGCTAGGGTGAACTCCTGCTGCACCCTACGTCGCGCACCCTCCGTCCCTTGGACACCCTATCAGCACCCTCGCGAGGTCGAGGATCAATAGTGGTTGTTTTCCATATCGATTGTGGTTCCCCTTTCCCATTGTCTCCCACTTCACCATGACTCATACCACTATGGCCACCGGGGCAAGATGGCGTCGTCATCTCCCTAGTGGCATTAACATATCTGGCCTCTGGGCACATCGTGGCCTCTGTCAAACAGGGATGTGGCCATGATTGAGAGCTTGACTGGATACTTGAGAGTAATGAGCCCACTCGGTTAAGGGAATTGTGCTGTAGAGTTTTAGAGTTGATGATGCGGGAAGAAATTATTACATAATATTGTACTCTATAAACGTGGTTATTTTATTTTCGACTTGATCCTCTTGGGTTAGAAACTATAGCAAGTCATAACTCGATGCACTTAAATTAAAAATCTTAAATATTTTGAAAGTAGATTTGGGATTGACAGCAGTTTTATACTGTATGCTCAACTTTTTGCATATGCTCAACTTTTGACTTTGAAATATGTTTTTAAACGTGACGAAATATTGGAAATACTGTCAAGTCAAATCAAATACTATCCATATAAATTTAGCCTATATACTGCGTCTTATATGTTTTTGGTAATACCTTATGGTTTTAGGAGAATATGTGCTTTTTCTTGTACTCCCAATTATTCCTCTACATTAACCAAAATCTACTGGTAACAATTAGGCATTTTGAGAACGCGTTTCCGATAGAAAACGAATTAGGATTTAGCAAAATAACTTCGACTCATCCAAAATTAAATTCCGTTTACCACTAGGTGAACATCTACATGATCACTTCTTAGACTGAAACAAAACCATCTTCTTCTTCACTTTTATCTGCAATAAATTTAACTCTTAGACAATATAGCTGAAGTATAAGATCCAATTCCTACCTTTGGGCAGGTGGCAGATGGGTGGAGGTGGTAGTTTACAGAGGTCCTGGGGTCTCCTGAAGTACTCTGGCCAGGCGTAGCTCATGTATGTGGCATCAAGCCACTGGGGAGGTATCAGGGAAAACGGCCCAAAGCCTCCAGGGTGCTGGTAGTGGAAATCTGGAAAATACAGAACTTGTAAGATCTCTTGAAGAAGGGAACTAAGTAAAAGTGATCGTAAAGATGTAATTTCTTGTGAACAGTTACGAGGTATTATCATGATGATGGAATCCAGACATGGTGAATAAGTGTGACATTCGACATGTTATAGAGTAATGCTGTAAAAGTCTCGAGAGTTCAAAGATTAATTTTTTCTATGGTTAGTTTTTCTAAATGCAGTTTATATCTACAAAAGATATCATGTATAAATTTTCTATATCGTGATTTATACTTGTAAAGAGGGTGTAGATGAATATCCTACTTAAATATTTTTGAAATTACTATCGATAACTTAGAACAAATATTTTATTTGTTGAAGTACAAAATAAGGCAAAATAAGGGGAATAAGGCAGATATTTCACATACATGTGAAGGCTATGGAGATAGGTTACAGGTACAATATTTTTTAACCTTTCCAGTGTTCTATGTAGTAATTTTACTCTCCATCGCAATACAAAATAAACGTAACTTTTTTGTTAAATCATTAAAATATTTGCTAACAAATTCAAATTTACAAATTTGTGAAGGTTTAATTTTTTCCCAACATATGAGTGTAAAACTAACTAAGAAAATTAGTAAAAAATACAAAAGAGACAGAAAATGTTAAATAATGGAAATCTTAATATTTTACACAAATGGCGGATAAAATTATAATTTACTTTACGATAATTACAGAAATGTATATCGATGAATTCACTCTTCCACACTGATCGAGTTTTAAGAACAGCAACTGAACCCCCGCACTGGACAGCCTGAGAACCTCCAAAACCAGCAACTGTGGAGGTTTGGCAGGTGATAATTTGAGACCAATTACCCCATTGGAGAGACGACGACGACGAAGACCGCACAGAATTAATGAAGTTAATCGGACCTGGAACCGTTGAGCATAAAGGGCCAAAGACCCTACGAAGCTTAAAAAGGTTGCACCACGGGGCGGGGCCTTTCTTGAATGAGCCCTTCACCCTTTATAGCCCGTGTTTAAGCCGCTGGTTTACCTCTGGCTACCGCATGCAACTCTTTATAAGCCCTTTCATCCGCTCCTTTCTCAGACTTTCAAAGGAGGGTTTCTTTCAGTGTTGGTTACAAAACGCCAGGTTCCGTCCTGTCGGATTGTGTTGACACTTAAAACGTTCGGGAAATGGATTAAAGTGGTGAAATGATTTACTCCAGAGCGACGTGGGCTGTGTGTTGTCTAGTTTTTTTTGTGACTGCGATTTGAAATCAAATCTTCATTGTGTGTTCTTACAAAATAATTTTACAGTCGAAAATGGAAGTATAGAATTACTTTAGAAATTCAAGGTTTCTTGAAATGCAAGATGTATGATTTACAACTGTCAATTCCGAGGGTTGTACGATTAAAAAACTGTTTAGTGATAACAATTGTAAACTACAGAGTTACTGATTTACAAAACTATATAGGTATTCTTCTCCTAAAAATCACATAAGGTAAAACTCGTAAAATGTTCTCATCTGCCAAATCGGTTGGTCTATTATAACTGTTATAAGATTGTTTTCAGTGAGGTTTTTCAAGAAACCCGGAAACATTGTACTTTATATTTAAAAGAGCAAACACTGTCTTTCGTTGGTTTACTTTAAGGAAAAGGTTGGTTTATAAGGAAATTAATCATCAGCAAATAGCTTATTGAAACATTACGAGTAACTTGGCGTAATTTCGACAAAAAAAGAACAATAATTGTCGAAAATAAAAATGTTATAGCTATATAACTACTTATACTGACAATTAAAGTACTTTGGTGTAAGACAACATTGCACCAGGTGAAGTATTTATTCGAAATGATCGATTACGTATTAAAAGGCACTCGAGTTTTCATTCTCAAGTTAAAACTGCTTAAAAGAGTGTTTCCCAATTTTTCTATGACAAAGTAATAAAAGTTTTTGATAATTTAACATTCCATTCCTATTTTAGAATTAAAATAAAACTGGAATAAATCATCAGTAGCAATGGTTATAGGGTTCGAGTGACGATGTCCGATTATCATAAATAGTATATAAAGATAATAACTAACAAAACAGAGTATTGAGTAAGAAAATAACAAGGTAAGAGATATCGTCACACAGTAATTCAAAGTCCACCACTACCGCCGTAATCGCCACTACCGCCGTAATCGCCACTACCGCCGTAATCGTCACTGACAGATTTTTGTGAGCGGATCCGCGCTGGCCACGCTCAGATGAATCGCCCATCGGCTTTTACGGTAAACATGCAAAGACCAATTGGAGAAGATAACTTTTTACAGATTAAAACGTCACTTAAAATCCGAAGCGTTTAAAAGCGTCCTCGAACGAGTGTTTGTATTCATTTTTATTCGATTTCGACAACCGGGCCGGGGATTTGCCAACGTTTGCCCATCTCTCTGAGTGACTTACGCCACTTGTACACGAGAGGCGCTCGGCCAACGCGGCCTCTTTTATGGATTTCCCCGATAGAGCGATTCGACTTTAAACAAAACTCGTTTAATTAATTCGGATTGTTTGAAATGGAATGGAACAAACAGAGAGTGTGTACTTTGAATCGCAGACTTCTGTTTTATAAAGCTCGCTTATTTGTCCGATATAAACTCTGAATGCACTCCCGTTACACTCTTGTGCTTTATCGCCATTTGAGCCTTATATTAGCTCTTCGATTCCTTTGTTATCGATAAACCGTGTACCCCGCAGCGGTTGTTTTTCCGAACGCGACTCCGGTCCGCGGTCGGATAAAAAGCGCCATTTTCCAGACCCCTTTGGCTAATTGGAGCGCGATTTATCGGGGGATTTATAAAGTCCGGATGTAATTTGCCTCCTTTCCTCGTGTTTTACATCGCCGTTAAAATTATCCGAGAGGGGAAGCACTTTCAGTTGTCGTTCTCCGCTGTTGGTTTTTCATAAACGGATAAACGTCGGTTATTTAATTCTTCCCTTTTATATAATACTTGATTTGTAATGTACTGGTACCTATTGAATTTTGTATAAAATAAAAATGAGTATATGCATCAATTTAATAATGAACCCAAATTTAATCTTGTTAGGACTACAGTAGTAACTGTATAAAAATATTCAATGCTCTCACGAAATTTTTGGAGGTAAGAAATATTTCCAATGATAACTAAGATACGATTAAGATTGTTTTAACTTTTAATTTTGAGTTTTAGCATTGTTTAAGACACCATTGTTCTATATTACTAGGTGTTGTATACAATCCAACATTGTTACTCGCTGTATTTAATCACATGCCGCAGTGAGAGTTGAAAGACGCGTCAGACCTGTAACACAGAGCCAGTGGATGTTTATTTACCGAGGAAACCGTATTTAGTGCCGGAGCCGCGGCGTCTCGCTGGTTACGGTTTTGGTTTACGGTTTGAGCATCTGGCCAAGGCTCAAAGTGCCGACCGAGCAAGCATTGTTGGCTGCTTCACATCGGGACATCACAGACACTAAACTGAGCCACCAGGCTTACAGTGTGAAACAAACTCAATCAAATTGATGCCTGTTTATACAGTGGAAAGATTATTCGCAGGTGTTACTCCGTTAAAATTCTTAATCATGAATCACACCAAGAATGTTTTTGCGCAAAAAGCTACGGCCCCAAGATGAAGTGGTAGTGCACTTAGTTCAAGTGGAAGGAGATTTTTTTTTTCGGAAACACATTTTTCATTTCGCGGTAAGTCCGCGACCACAAAATAAAGTGGGAAAGTTTACGTGACCGAAAAACCGTCAGAATTAACTTATCAGGAAGGTTTACAACGTGTTTTTTCCTACTTCAGAAAATACTTCTTCGATAACACACTTTTTACCACCTTACATCAAAGCCAGCTCACAAAGCAAGCCAGGGTAAAAAGCAGCCCACAAGCAAGGGCGGTGAGCGTGAACGTGGTTTAATAAACAGAAAACACGAGTGTAAGAGCACAGGCGTCACAAGGACCAAGAGCAATGCCTTTATGAAGCATGTCCTGCAATAAAGGGTGGACACGGCAATATCGGAGGTTCTTTCCCGGACCGGCAATATAGAGTAATTGGCCAGCGACGCTGATTAGCACAGCAATCAGCCGCTCTTTGATACCGCCGGGATTTGCATAAAACACGGCCAGAACAGAAGCGACTCGCTCCTTTCTCGATGAGATTGTTAGCGACAAAATCAGTGTATCGTGTTGTGTACGACACCGTACTCTTGTGTTTCGTGCTTTTTACGGCAGCGGAGTCTTGTTTTTGCATTATTTACGGCTCCAAATCCTTATGTGTCTTGATGGGTGTTGAGGAAATGAGTGTTTTGTGTTGTAAGAATCTAAATAATAAGTTCCTCGTCTGTTGTAACGGTGAACTCAGTGTTTTTGTACTGCGAACCCGAAATCTGAATTTAGCTTAATTTACGTCAACCCTGATTTCAAATGTTTCTTCAAGTGTACTGTCAACACTAGGTTGTGAAATTATTTACAATTAGTATTTGATACTGTGACTGTTAACTCATAAAACAGAAGTATTGTGTTTTATTGTGTTTATTTTTTAGCAGTGCGACACCGACACCGATTAATTAATCGTGTATCGTGATACTGATAAGCAGAACACAGAAGTCTTGACTTTTATTTATGGAGAAATTAAATTTTTAAGTTCAGTGTTAGGTAGGCCTGCCGCGGAATCAATTTTGATGAGCATGGCAACACCGTACTCTAATGTGTTGTATTGTGAAGTGTCAAAGTTCATGATGCACACACGAAAAGTAAGCTATTCTCTGAAGTCATAGTGATAAGAAGCAGCTGTTTTCAGACTTTATCTATTTCTACCTTAAGACTAGAGAGTAAGAAGTACTTGGGTAAGCACTTACTCGACTTACTCCGTGGTTCGCGAGGACCATCCACTGTCACCTTGATCGCCTTGCAGTAGGAAGCCACTTGGTAGGGGGAGGTGTTGATCACTATACTCAGCGAGAAACTCTTTCCTGCAACAATAAACACATTGTTAGTATATGCTTTCACAGTTTTAATGTATTTAGTTTTCAGGTTCATCATAACAGTTAATTATTACATACAATGTGAAAGCATGTTTTCGACCGCTACCGCGTGAGGTAGTCTACTCTTTGACAGAATCATACCTGTTTTCGAAATTATTACACTACTTAAGAAAGTATAAGGATATTCTTAAAAACAACTTCTTGTCAACAGGCATTTCAAACTAAGAGTAACGTACGCACTGTAAAATTTAGTCTTTTCGGGCACGAAGCACTCTAAAACCCGTTTCATATTTTATAATGTAGTGAGAAGTCTACTTGCAATATGTCAAATTAATAGTGTTAAATGTTAAGGTAAACACATAAGATTTTAAGTATGAATTTTTTTTTATAATGCTTAAAACACTAACTTGGTGAGTCCATAATTAGACTGATAGAACTTAAAACCAAGTGTTAAATTTCGTGATAGGCCCACTTGAACTACCTAAATTATTCTGAGTAGATATAATTGCTGTTAGACCTAATTGAATTAGGATACATATGTATAATAAAAATAATTGTATATGCGAATTAGACAATGTTTTGAATCACCCGTTGTTTAAAACAACAAAATCTAAACAATATCTACTTCAGTATTATCTAAACGCCGATAGTCAAAATTCTTCATCATTGAAGGCTGCAGGAATCTATTAAAAAGGGAACTTGACAATTATAATGTATAATATTAAGAATTTGTAATCTTAACGTTAAATCCTTAAGAATTTTTATGTTGAAGGAATTAGGATGTAGAAATTACCTGGTTTACTTTCAATAAATGATTTTATTTACATTCTATGGTATTTACAACGTATTTATAATAATAATGTTAAAGGAGAAATGAGTTCTTCCTACCTGACAAGGATATCTTTTTTGAGAAATGCATTCTAATACTTTTGTTTTGTTTTCTAGATGGACTAATAGTTCTGAACCAACATTTGATAGCATTGCCACAAAGATAAAAGTCATTATTTGGCGTAATTTGAACCTAAACCTAGATACAGAACACACTTTATCCACACCAACCTCGACCTTATCAGTGAATGATCGGCAAAAAACGTTTTTTTTCAAATCCACAATTTTCCACCTTACACACAAGGTACAGTGGTGGAATTTTTCACGTTTTAAAAACTGAATTTCCATCTGAGCTGAGTAAAAGTATAATCCGCCCCTGTGAGGCCACGGACTAACCGTAGCCCCGGACCCAGACACAACACACAGTCCCTAGCGTCGCCTCGGCTTTTAGTCCGCAGCAGCTAATGCCGCTGTGGTCACATCCAGCGCAACCTTTTAAACATAATGGCTTTAGCTACGGTCTATTTATGCTTAAGTCAAATGTGACGATGTTCAAGTTTAGGTTGTTATTGAAAAATGGTTCAAGTAAACTTGTTGGTATGGTGAAATGTATTTCGTTAAGACATAATGTAAACATGATTATGTGTATACGTTAATTAAATTGGTTTGGTTTATTATATTCAGAAAATATCTTAATAATTATTATATCAGAAAGTAATTAATAGTCAATGGTAAAACTAAAATGTTCTCAGATTTTCCTCCAGAACATATTTGACGTGAATATCTTCAGTACATACGTATTTTATTCGGAAAATCTTACAATGAAGAATATCAATACTGTATGCTGAAAGTACATATTGGGTTTCATATAGGATTCTGAGTAAAAGTTTTGGTACTGTAAAGTGGAACTTATAATTTATTTTGTATTATTTAGCAGCTTTTTGTGTAATCTGTTAATTTGTTACTTTAAAAAAGTGTTGTTTTTATGTACATAATTTTGAATTTTATCAGAATGTAGATTAACAAAATCGAGTGTGGTCAATTATATTATATGATGATTACTGGTACTGAGGATTCAATTTACGCTTTAGTGAATCAAAACCTTAAGTTTTTAATTGGTTTATACGTTATCTTTTATTTACATGTAAATCAAATATAGCGTGAATTAGTAAAAGAATAAACTATAAATATTTCATCAAAAACATTACTGCAACAATTAAAGTGACCATCGTTTTAATAACACCATGAAGACATCCAACAAAAAGTGTTTCTAGTGGATAGGTTTAATTCAAGCAACCTCTTTGTACCCTATTGTATTTTTAAGACCTCTAACACATCTTTTGTGGTCACCTGGTTCGATATATACTTGTACCACAACGTTATAACCTACTGCATAATATTTATATACTTGGTTAACATATACATCATTAAAACAATATCAATACATGATACAGGCATGAAATAGTGTTCTTAGCGTTAAAATCGTTGATTCAAAACTAATAACAACGAACAATAACGTTTTGAATATAGTTTATTTTCATATTGAAAGTTTATTATGTCTGTGAGACGATAACTTTTGTTTGTAGAAGAAAAATAAATATACATAACTTAGGCCTATTAAGGAAACTGAATAAGTCTGAATCATGAACAGCTTTAACAGGCCTCATGTAACTCATTATAGCTAAAAGTGCATAAAGTCTAAAGAAGTGGACGAAAAGGAGAATTGTTTTTGCTTGTTGAACAATTTAGCATCTTATTTATATAAAGACGCACGTTTTTAACATGTGAAATAATACAATGATGTTACAGAGAACCATTTTCTAAAATTTAATTCATGTAATAAATTGGGTTTTAATAAAATTCTACTTGAACCAAAAAATAAATAAAATCCATATATAAATCCCAAAGTACCCATGAACTTTTGAGAAAACTAAAAGTCACACACCCCCATAAACCATATACTTAAAATGTTCGACATTACGAGAAATCTTGCGCAAAACTATCCATTATTTCATAAATTGCCCTTTACGATCGTAATTCCTTTCTAAAGGGAACTTTCCATATACCTAATGTTAAACATACCTCAGCTGTACTTATTCGTATGTTATTCTTTCAATTTACTACCTTATTAAAATCAGGTGTGATTATTTGTTTGTATTACTGTATTCTGTTTTGTTTATTTTAGCTTAACCTAACCAATCAATAGTTTTATTAAAACTTAAGAAGTCAAACGGGATGAAGCCCGTAGGTAACAGCTAGTAAAAATAAAAATAAAATTTAATAAGGTTTTTTTATATATTTGGTTGGTGGTTGGTGGAACTTATTCACTCAACTTAAACAAATATAAATGAATCAACTGAATAACCTATTACAAATTAATAACATTAATTAATGCCTATATGTTGTAAAATATTTTGTTTACCAGAAACCCATTACGTCATCACCTTCAAAAATATTTTGCTCGTTTTATCCGACGTACTGTTTAAATTGGTTTATTGCAATTTTTCGTGCTTCACCATGGACAATAGGTTTAAAATTGAAACTGTAAATGTTATAAAGACTTAGAACTATCTACACAAATAATTTATGAGGTAAAACTATTTAAAATCCTAGAAAACTTAAAGATCTTAACCACGAAAAGGCTACTTCTTATGAGTAGTTTCGTGTCAAAGAAGAATCAAACTATGCGAAATAATTGTAGACCTTGTATACGATTGAACTACAGGAAAGTTGGATTGGCTAGGCAAAAATAAATTTCTCAATTTTAGTGACTAGTTATTATTTAGGCATACCTTTAGATACTTAGAGGTAGTTGATACTATAGTTGATAGAAATGCGAAAATCATTTTTACCCATAGCAAACGGCTATTCTTTAGTGAAACTATTGACTAAGACTTCCCAAGTATTTTAATGTAAAAATTGAAAGCCAAAAAACGCGGTGCAATCTGTTGAGATGGTCACAACTAATGAGAATATTCTGTGATAAGTAATAAATCAATCAGCTGTTTGCTATAATACTGTATTGGTTTTGGTGAAACCTTACTAACCACACATGGCATTGAATAAAAATACACCATTAAGTAACACAAGCATGTGCACCCAAACAATAATGCAAGGACAATAATAAATGTAAAAGCAAACTAGCCAACTGTAATTTGTACTAATATCCTAATTTTGTACTATTAGTGGCACTAAATTGGCCAAGTTGGGTTGCACATTAGTTGGCAGATCCACCAAGTTGCGGGTCCGTGGCGCACCCAACCCCAGTTTGGCGAAACTCCAAAACTTACACTCAATTCTGTCTAATTTCATTGTTATTTCGCCCACTTGGAGGCGGCTTTTATTGTTAGGGTGACTTTTAATTTACCAAATGGAAGTCTCTATGTGTAGGTGTTAGCACTCCGTAAGCGTGTTGTTTTGTGGTGCACGAGTAAATTATGTTTATAGAAAATATTTTAAAATATATTTTTATCGATTTAAAAGTTTTAAATATATTTAATATAAACCACCTCACTAAAGCTCTAATAACAAAAATGATAAACTAAGACCTGATTAGAGTAAATACCCCCGCCGCAGCAAACCTGCAGACTAAGCGAATTTCCATTTGACTGATTGGATTTACACTGAAATGTCTACTTAAAAATATAACATTTATTCTTGATTTAAATAGAATTAGTTTAACAAGTACTTAGGTTTGCTGCATCAAGGAGGGTAAAACTTTTTTTTGTTTGTAAAATGTGAATAGGTAGTGAGAAATAAAAACATTTTCCAAATTTGATCAAAATATGTTCACAAACAAGCAAACTACAACAGTTTACTTATTCCCCATAAGAATAACATGGGAATTTTAAATTTACAATTTTTTGGAATTTTCTCCGTAACTATTAGGCACATAATAATGCTTCAATATACTAAATTATTTGTTTTTTTAAGCTCTACAAAATGGTTTGGAAAGAAATTGCTAAATTTTATGTTTTTTGGGTCAAAAATAGGAAAAACCTATTTTTACCCCATAAAACCCCCCGTAAACCCCCGTTCCCATGGTCCGATCATGCTGGATCGCGAACTCGTTCGAATAAACGTACGTTTACACATTTGTACCAAATTTCATCCAAATCGGATCATTTTTGCTCGAGTTATCGTGCTGACGGACACATATATATATATATATAAATATATAAATATATAAATATATAAATATATATATATATATATGAATTTGAACGGATGGTGTTTTTGGCCTCTAGGGACCTCAAAACGAAAAAAAAATCGGTCCCGCGTCCAGGTCTTACCATGAGTACTACGGTAATAGCTTATTCCCTATATGGGAAATTCGCTAAAAGACTTTTTGGCATTAGACTAAATGTACGTTTTAGTTTTTCAAAAAGGACTCTTTTACATAAGCCATTTAAACATATTCTTACAATTTAAAGCGTTGAATAATTAGTGTTTAGTTACTCTACAAGAAGAAGAATTGAAATATTCAATACACGTCCCCGGGATGTTAAATGGACGTTGGTTGCTTAGGCCTACTACACCATACACCATAACATATACTGTGAATGTTATATTTTTTTTACTCTGATTCATTGTGACACCAATGAAAAATTAATCATACGTTAATTTAAGTACGTTAACAGGAGGTGGCCAGATACTAAACAATTTAAGTAAAAGTAAATAAAATGTTTAAATGATTGAATGTGGTACATTCCCTACAAGGTGCTGTGGCAGCATTTCAATAAATAGCCTATAGTTGCCAATGTTACTGTAATGAATAAACGAATTTGAAATAAGTGATATTGAACAATTATAAGTATTTACTATATAGATAAGACCAAATGGTTATAAGCAAGACTACGACATATCCCTGCTTATGAAATATTATATTTTCATTATGTAGTATTTTATTATTGTAATCATTGAACAATACAGGATCCTTTGTAGCCTATTTTACAAATATGATTGTATAAGGAATAAATTATTCATTCTATTGAAATTCTTAGATTTGATTTTTACCTGGCCTATAGTTAATTTGGTTTTACTTTAATTTCAAATGTGCATAAATTCCTAAGTTGTATACGAAGTAGTTTCTAAAGTTATAAACCATAAAACAGACATTGAATATTGGTGAATACAAATATTGTATAGGCCCAAAGATTCAAATGAGGATTTCAATTCAAATAAAAGATTTTGTATAGACATTGGACCTATTAAATTATGTCAATGCAATATAATTTCCCTTTCAAAACATATTCTTCGGGAGTATTCTTATATTTATTTATGAATGTTAGTACAATTTCAAATATATTATACATATTATATTAATAGTGTATATTAATAGTATTTCTCTATTTTTATATCGTCGAAGACTTTAATGACTCTATTCTAGTGTAATGGATGCCCATCTTAAGAATTATTCTTTAAAACAAAGACTAGGTATTCAATATTTTCCAATTACTCAGAAAGAAGCTATTGGTTTCCCCTACATTCTCTGGTCGAGATTTAGTTATTTTTTATTTTCTCATGTCCTATTTTTTGCCACGTAAAATAAAGAACCACTAAAAATCACCTCGAATCGATGCAACCAATAGGAAGCGGCTATGCGCGGACGGGCTGCGCGGACCTCAAACTTGCCGAGTTTAACCCAACTTTCAAACCTTACTTTGGTGTTTAACTTCGGTATTTGGCGGGCTTTGCGGTTACTATGAAGAAGACTTTTAATTATAACAAAGAAAATCAAACTGTGATGAACAGCAAGACAATGCTGGGAAATGTATCTTTCTTAGACGATGAGCCTACAGATAAACGAGTAGGCCGATTGCAATAGCAAAATAAATTAATAGTGAAGTTCTAGACCTATTATTATTGAAGGGTGCGTAGTCATACTTTTTAAACTGTATGAGTCCATCAATAAGTAGTTACTTTTAGTGCTAAGAAAAGTTGAAAGTCGATAGAAAATGCCCACTGTATAATTAAAGGCCAGAACTTTGGCTTATTAGCCTATGTAGTAATACAAAAAAGTTACCATATTACTCAATTAAATAAATAAATAAATCAAATGAGATGAAATGAATATTTCGATTGATTCTTGACAAGTAGATATTCCTTCATACTTCAAAAATGTATACATGTTAACTCTTGAATATTGGTCCAGTTTTAAGGTTGAGGTTTACTCCCAGAAACAATCAACGGACTTAAAATTTCTGTTGGTGGCCTATTCTTACCCTACTTATAACCATTTAGTTTTTTAATTGCATTTGGTGCCACGAAATGGGGTAAATGCAAAGCTAACCTCCAAATTTACCCCCGAGTTCTGCACTACGGCATTGCTATACCATCCATTCAAGATCGGTTATTGAATTGTATAAAATAGTTTACGTTACTGAAACTGAAATCTGCTATTGTTAACACAAAATAAAACTCCTTACCTCTGCCACTTCTGCCGACGAACCTGAGGTCGTTGAACTTGGCCACTTGGTTCTTCATGACGGCGGTGCAGTTCCTCAGCTCGGCGCAGTAGTTCTCGTCGTTGCCCGCCTTGACGGTGACCACGGTGCCGTCCGTCACGTCGTCCAGAGCCACCACTTTGAAGGCTATGGGGAGACTCTTGTTAGACCTCCAGTGTGTCGGCAGTGCTGTACACAGGATCGCAGGACTCCCGGTCTGCACTAGCTCACCATGGTACTCCTGCAGGGTCTCGTACACCCCGGCGAACAGGTCAGTCGTCATCCCTTTGCCGCCGAGATCCGAACAAGGGAGATGCATCGAGCTGAGGAGGGAAATGTCGACAGACACAATAGTTCACTAGAAACTGTAGTTAGTCGTCACGACGAAAATATTTGCATTATTTGCCGGTGACAAACTTAAGAAGTAATAAAGACGTTTAAAAAAAAAACAACCGATAAACCTATTCAACACTGTAGCGGACACGATAATTTAGCCGGATAGTAAACAATGTTGGCACTATTGCGATTGTTTATAGTTGCGCACAAGTTTGTCCAAGACGGTAGCGAGGGTAGCGCGGGGGGTGCGATGCGTCAGTGTCGCCACTCCACACACTACTGTGAGTGTCGCTCAAAAACTGCTCAGAATCGCCACTTTTTTCCCACCCCGCTTCCCCACCCCTGTTCCTTTTTCGTCAATATTCTTTCTCCCCCTCCACCGATTTTTTTCCGCACGCCCGCGAGTGCGAGCGAGACAGAAAACTCTCCCCTCCAATCCGGGTACCGCGGTTAGTGCCGTGACCACCCGCCCGCGTTTTGCGGCCAACCGGCGAACTAAAACCTTTTTCCCTCTCCCTCGACGCCGCGTATCCGGTGAAAAGAAAGCGCCAAAGAGGGAGAAGCCCCTCCCCTCATTAGCTCCCCTCCCCTAGCGGTGACGACTGTGACAGCGACAGTCCCCCGACCTGGTCTTCTTCACTTTACTTGACACTTTGCACTTCAGCCCACTCCACCACCGCTGTACCACACCGTGCAAAGTTCCTTACGCGTAAACTTGTTTGTTTGTGGCCCATGTCGCATAAACTAGCTTTGTTATTGTTCTGGGATTACCCAGGGCGCTAGTATACCTCCGGTTTTATTTGTTTAGCCGATAGAGAGCGTTTATTTCCTGATTTGTTTATGTTGGTGCTCTCTCAGTTATTGGCTCGCTGGTTTTTGTTTCATTTTTAGGGGTTTCTTGTTTCAATGGGTGTAAAATATTTGCAGAACTTACTTAAATAAATTGAACTTACTAAAATAGATTGAGGAACTTACTTAAATTTTCAATGCAATTGCTAATATAGGCATATACTTTAATAAATCTTAGACAAACTCTAAAATTCAGTTTGATTAGTTCACATTCTACTTCATGGTAGACCTTAAAACGGAAAAATCCAATGCAATTGAATATGTCTAAGATACATATGGAACTCAAACTTGGAAGAAATAAAAATACTCAGTAACTGAAAAGATTTGTACGAATTCCCAGTCATACAACCTTAATAGTGTGCTTTTTTCTTTTGTTATAAAGGTTTCTTTACCACTATAGTAGCCCTATCCTCATTTAATGGCATCTTATAAAAATCGCAAATGTTTGTTGAAATCAGAACTACCAAAAATCAAGCTTCTACTGCAATATTACCCATATAACGTTAAACAATCTCTTATCATGATGTTAAAGAGTGTTAGAAAGCCATGTAAAGTTGAATGATTAAGGTAGATGCCAGTGTGGCCAACAGAAGAGATTTTGGTAAAGTTGACGTAAGTAGGTCTACGAACAGTTTTCAAATGTAAAGATTTAAAAATAAATATTTAACTAAAGCAAAAACTAAACTCACAGAAAGCAATGGCTTTTAAATCCTTTTACACAAAAATCTCCTAACTCTGCCAACTACATACATATTACATAGATTACATAGACCCTGAACCGTTTTATGTATTGATGAAATTAAAAAATATGGGTACATTTAACACAAAATGCAGTAAGCCTACAGGGAAGAGTGGGTGGATGAATTATAACTATGTTGAATTTTTTGTTTCACTATTTTTTATGTGTAAACGGTGTCAAGTCAACGGTATTCCTTGAAGGACAAATACAATTTGGAAGATATTGTAATAAATTAAATTGATTTGTTTTTATCAAAATAATAGATGCATGGGTAAAACCCCTAATCAATCAGTTATTGAAAACTATAAAAAATTTAAAATGTCAAATTATTGAAGGGTTGTTTACTTCTTAGTAACACTGTATAATTGGTGGCCTGTTCTAATATTATGTATTTTTATTATTTTATTTTCATAGTTACCTTTTTTAATTTTTTTTATTCTAGGTGTCTGTCTATACAGTGATTCTATACGTGAAACACGGATATGCCGTCATTACCGTAAACGTAGCCTACTTAAAAAAATCATTTACAGCAAATAGGCATTTATTTACCTAATTTAGGACTTGAGTGCTTGCTACAAAACCTTGTTGTATTGGTTATCACTGATACACCACCTTCAATGACTAACTAATACACAACTCACCACTCCTCTCCGCTCAACCTATCACTTGATTTTTGAGAAGCACTTTAGATTCTCATTAGTTTCAGAAAAATGTCGTAGTCCAGTTCCAAGCAAGAAAAAATTTATATCCTGACGTGATAACAATTAGCCTACTTCCAAAAATAACCTTGACTATTATTTGCTAAGGAGTTTTTCAGAACACTGCACAACTTGAGTATAGAAAGGAAGGGGCAATGATGCAATATGACTGCAGTTATTAGATTGCATACGTGTATTCTGCAGGCGCTGCCACACAACGTTTCAATAAAGGCTAACAACCGTTTGATTTCACAGTAAGTTGAATTTTTTACTGTTTTCATATATATAACAATGTATTGTTTTAATATACGTAATATTACATACAACAAGAACATTTAGGACAAAGAACAAGATTATCTTGCCTGTCAAGACCAACAAAAATTTGACAATTAATTGTAGTTATTTGCATTATTTTTTTGTTGTCAACCCAATAAATCTTGACAAGATAAAAATAGTTTATACTTAAGTTATTACGGTTGTTTTCTGCTCAACTAAATTCGTGATTACCACACTGAATTATGCCTTGCTTGAATAGCATTCTTTTACGTTTCCAACCATGTTTCTGGTTAGTTGGCATGCTTTAGAAGTAGCCTATATGTTTAGTTAGGGAAGGATAGTTTAAACCAAAACTACAATCGCTAATTATTTTAGAGACCGAGTTCCAAATTCAAAAACCCACAGTTAGTCACCTACTCGGGTGACAATGATATTGTCCCCCACAGACAAAGTATACCGCATGATATTTGTGGTATGATTTAATACAACATTGAGTAGTAAAAAAACTTTAGGCCATTTTTCATAAATATACCAAAGAAAGGCTTTTAATGATGCAGTTTCGCAAGGCCCAAACTAAGATGTAACTGACCTATTAGTGTTGTTAATTTCAATTCTTGGAATATATGACAAATATTAAATATGGATTTTTACAACCCATTTTTGACCTCATGTCACACAAAGCATAATAGTGAATGCGTGTCCTCATATATTGCATATTGCACAACAGTAGGCGTCTATTGGCCTTTGTGTGTCCTATTTAACAAGCACAATATTCAGATTTCGTTACCCTCAGTTTTACCATAAAAAGTTCGAAATTGAGTTTTTTTTTGAAAATATTTTGTCTAAAATCAGTAGCAAAAAGTGTTCAAATGTATAACGTATAATATCGTGTGTTTGTTTCGATCAGTTTGACAACAGGTAGTATGAAGTACAATAGTGTTCAACTGTGTTATTTCAGGATTTAGTTTTTAATTTGAACAACTTTTATCAATTTTGGCACATACCACAATATTTAGTGGTTATTCCACCTACTTTTGACCAAATGTGGTACAAAGCACAGACGTGTTTTTTATTATTTTTTACTCAGAGTGATCTTATCTGTTACACAATGTCATGGGTTTATTTCGTTCAGTAAAAAAAATGGTTACAAAGCATTACAGTGTGGTATTTTCACCCATGGTTACCACATGAGACACATGATATCGTGTGTTTATTTCAGTTGTGACTATTGGTGGAACATAGCAATATGCCGTGTGTTGATTTAACCTAGTTTTGACAATAAGTAGTGCATAGAACAATATCGTGTGTTTATTTCACCTAGTTCTGACAACAAGTAGAACATAGAAAACAATTGTGTGTTTATTTCGCCTATTTCTGACAACAATTAGATCATAGAACAAAGTCGTGTGTTTATTTCGCCTATTTCTGACAACAATTAGAGCATAGTACGAAATCGTGAGTTTATTTCGCCTATTTCTGACAACCAGTAGTGCATAGAACAAAATCGTGTGTTAATTTCACCCACTTTAGACCACATGTTTCACCTTGTTTGGATCACATGAGTCACATATCACATCACTGTGTGTTTATTTCGTCCAGTTCGGCCACATGTGATACAAAGTCTGTGTTTGTGTTGGTCACGTGATCATTCACCTAGAAGGACGCAATCACTCGCCGCCCTGTTACAAGCGATAGCAGCAACGTTTGTAGATGTTACACCACTGTTTCGTTTACACTCAAGTAAATGTAACTGTTCTACCTGTAAACAAGGGTTGCAATAATTTCAACATTTATTTAATCACGTTTTGAACAAACTATCAACTAAATTTAATTCGTTATACTCTTTTATATTTTAGAAGAAATTTTTTTTATTACTTTATAATAAAATAAACATTTAGTTTGAACCATAGAAATTAATTTTGTTAACTATTTAACTAACTATCTTCCTACGTTTGAACTGTCATTTTTATTATGATGGATGGACCAATTAATATTATGGATATTTTTCTACAAAACCTCACCCATTAACGAATTTAAACTTTACGTTTTAAAACGTATGTATAGTGAAGACTTTGGCGATATCTTAAAAATATTTATGCAATTTTGTGCCATTTTTTATTTCTGTGAAATATTTTAAATTTAAGATAGGCCTATAAAAGGTAGGGTAAGATTTTATTTTGTCATCAGTTATGACATGGATTTAATTTTAGGAAATCATTAAGGCTCATTGTAACATCTAATAACTGACGCTTAATTGAATAATATTGTTGTAAAATGACTGTATGGACAAACATTTGCTGACAACAGAAAAGAAATACACCATAATGGAGCATTTTTCTTTAACAAATATGCATCAACACACGAGACCAAACTTCATTTCCCAAAACGCTGCCTTTACATTATGAAACGTTGGCCATGAAT